GAGAAATGTTTGTATAGAACCAGAAAACAAGCTCTGATGAGGGGAGGAGGTTAAAAGAACTTATTAGAATGTTATTTCTAAGAACAGTGAATAATAGTCATGGAGAGCTTCTAGGGGCAAGTTCTGTTCTAAATCATTAATAAATATTCTTTATTTAATTCTCATAATGTCCTGATAAGGTAGTTTCTATTGTCTGACCCAGCATATCGATGAAAAATCTACAATTATGAGCTGTTAAAAAATAGAGTTGAAGATCAAACTCTGGTAGACTGATCAGAAAACGGACATCCTTTTGTACTTTTTGTAGAACTGTAAGCTCCTCAACTTGGTTTTTATGGATAGTAATGTGTTTAGATTGCTCTCCATATAAACATGTGCATGTGAAAGTGCTGAATAGATGTGTATTCTGCAGTATTGTGTTGCTTCATATATATATATATATAGTGTAGTCTATAGTTGATCACCTGGCATATATCTGATGGATTTGCTCAGACATTTTTAAGAGCCAGGTTTCCCTAAGCTGTTCTGCACCTTTGGATACATTTTACTTCCTCTTCAAAGTAACACTTTTTATTTGTAAATCACTGGATTTTCATCTATGTGAGACAGAACATATCAAGAGCTGCACATCAGAAATTAGGGGAGCCCACTACACTCACCGGAGTCCTGGTGGGGTGCTGTGGGTTAATGCACCAGACTGCAAAGCCATTTGAACTGTAAGGTAGACGGTTCAAGCTCACCAGCCACTCCTTGAAAACCCTATACAGGGTCACAATGGGTCAGATTCGACTCGATGGCACTTAACAACAACAACTACACCCACCAGCTGCTCCTTGGAAACCCCATACAGGGTTCCTGTGAGTTGGAACTAACTTGACACCACTTAATAACAACAGCACTGCAACCATAGCCCCTTTACTATGTTTTGTGTCATTTTGTGGGGTGAATTTTTGTTTGAAGGAACTGTTCGGTAACAAAAGAAGGGCCTAGTTAAGATCCTTTTAGTTGCTACACATGGTGATGGTGTGAAGTGCCATGGAGTTGGTTCAAACTCACAGGAACCCTATTAGGGTTTCTGAGGAGGAGCTGGTGAATTTGAACCTCCGAACTTGCTTTTAGCAATCCAGTGCTTACCCTACTGTGCCACATCAGGACTGATAAATTAAAGTCTTCCTTGGTTTATATAGAGTAAAGTCTTGAAAAGACCCACATTAAAGTTATTGGAGAACAGGACCAACAATGACCAAACCCAACGCCGCAGAATGTCTGGGCACAATTTGACATTTTGTTTGGTTTTGCCAGTTCTGACTCACAGAACCCCCATGTGCCTCCGAGCAGAGCTGTGTCCACAGGGTTCTCAATGGTTGACTTTTTCGTGGTTGATTGCCAGGTTGTTTTATGAGGCACCTCTAACCTGTTGGTGAGCAGCCAAAAGTGTTTGTACCATCCAAGGCGACATACTCTCTGTTTTATTATTATTTAGATGAAGTTAGTTCTCTGGCTATTTTCTGTAGGATTTCAAGTTACATCTTTTTCAGGGACTACTTTTATGACAATACCACATGACTGGGGAAAAATCCAGTGGCTTTCATTATTTTTTATTTCATGCTTATCAAAAAACTGGGTAACACTAGAGAGATCATGCAATATAACAACCTTCAAGTTGCCTTGTTGTTGTTGTCCAGTGCCATTGAGTCAGTTCCAATTCATAGCCACCCTGTATATGGTTTCCAAGGAATGACTTAGTAGATTTGAACCACCAACTTTGTGGTTAGCAGTCCAGGGCTTATGGGCTTGCGTTGCCTCAGATCCTAGTCAATAATTAGGTTCTGTCTTAAATCTTAACTATTACTTTGAAGTCCATACCTTGTAAGTACTTCATACATTATACTTCTTGATATAGAAGTAACACTGTTTTTCTTAAGTTACTCAGCTTAGGGTTTTTATTATTGTTTTGCCTTGTATATAGAATAATGCATAACTCTCAATTCTTCCAAAAAATGTTGACCTTTAAGATGTCACATATAAAAGTCATTGCAACATGACTGTTGAGTTCAGAAAAGGAATCCTGATGTGGAGCTGTGGGTTAATACACTGGACTGCAAGGTCCATTTGAACCACAAGGTTGGTGATTCATGCTCACCAATCACTCAGGGAAACCCTATTTGGGGTCGCTATGAGTCAGAACCAACTCGATGGCACTTAACAACATTGAGTTCAGACAGGTCAGGGCTTGAAGAATCCTACTGTGCTATATGACCTTTAATTTTTATGAATCTTGTATTCTTCATAATGCTAAGGACTACCTAACAAGATGGCTATATGAATTCTCATCAAATTTGGTCTATCTGAAATGGATTGATTAAAATACAGACTTACTTCATAAACCAAAAAGCCTATCCTCAAATTTTTATCAAACTCTAGGGGCCCTGCGTACCCAAAACAATCTTGAAATAAATAAAATAAGGTTGGGAGACTCTCACTTCCCAGTTTTAAAGCTTACGATGATGCTAAAGTCATGAAAACAATGTGGCACTAGTACAAGAATCGACATATGGATCAAATGGAATAGAATCGAGATACTAGAAGTGAACAAATACATCTCTGGCCAACTGATTGTCAACAAGGATGGTAAGACCATTCAATGGAGGAAATACGAGGCCCTTTAACAAACAGAGCTGGGACAACTGAATCTCCACATGTAAAAGAATGACATTAGAACCCCTACCTCAAACCACATAGAAAAAATGCAAGTCAAAGTAAACCAATGGCCAAAATATAAGAGCTTAAACTATAAAATTCTTACAAGAAAGCACGGAGGTAAATATTCAGCACCTTGGATTTGGCAATGGATTGTTAGGTATAACACTGAAAACTTGAGTAATGAAAGAAAAAAAATATATATATATATAGGGAATTGGGCTTTTATCAAAATTAAAAATGCTTGTGCATCAAAGAACATTATCAAGCAAGTAAAAAGACAACCAACAGATTGCGTGAAAGCCTGAGTGTCATATACTTTGTAAGGATCTACTATCCCAAATAGATAAATAACTCTTACAGTGCAATGCCCTAAAGGCAACCCAACTAAAGAATGGTGGGCAGAGGACTTGAAAAGACATTTCTTCAAAGGAAATATACAGATTGCCAACAAGCCAATAACAAGATGCTTAACACCATTTTGTTTTTTGAGGAAACGCAAATGAAAACCAACATTGAGAAACCACTTCACATGAAGATGGCTATAATCAGATCACTGTCAGATGACAGTGGTGGTGAGTATGTGGAGGAAGTAAGAACCCTCAGGCCTTGCCAGTTAGGATGAGATTCTGCGGAAAAGCTTGGTCATTTTTTATAAACATAAACATAGAACTAGTGTACCACTCAGTGTTTTCACTAGTGTATCGACAATCCCTGGCTTATGAAAAGATCCGTTCCTGTCTAAGATGAATTTGTAGGTAAGTCAGAACAGGTGCAAACTGTTCTTTCTTACTCGTAACTTTAGCACAAGAAAAGGCTCAGAGCCTTTTCAATGATTTAAACGCTGCACTTACAGCAAACGAAGGTGATTGTGATGAGGAATTTGTCTTGAGTAAAGATTAGTTCAATTATTTCAAAGTGAAGGCAAATTCATAGACCATGAAATGGCAAGGCTGAGCTGTGTGTATATTGAACATTCATAACCCAGGCATTGGCTGTGTATCAAAGTCAATGCAAACAGTATTCAAACAAATGCATGTATGTGTATGTTCACAGTAGAACTCTTTGCACAGTCTAAATGTCCATGGACGAATGGATCAAGAAAATGTGGTGTATCCTTACACTGGGACTTTAGGACTCTGAGAAGGACTGAAGGAAGTACTGACAGATGCAACAAGAAGGCCAGACATTAAAAACATTATGCCAAGTGAAAGGAGTCCCCCACAAAAGGTCATGTACGAGATTCCACTTACATGAACTATCTAGAATAGGTAAATCTATACAGCCAGGATGCTCCTTAGATGTGAGACTGATGAGCCTCTGTCTCTCATACTTTGGATATGTTGTCGGGAAGGACCAGTCCCTGGAGAAGGACATTGGGCTTGGAAAAGTGAAGGGTCAGTAAAACTAAGTGAGATGGACCGACACAGAGGCAGCAACAAGGGACTCAAATAACTGTGAGGATGGTACAGGACCAGACAGTGTTGCCTTCTGTGGTGCACAGAGTCACTATGAGTCAGAACTGACTTCACTACACCTAACAACCAGACAGAAAGCACAGTGGTGGCTGCCAGGGACTGAAGAAAGGAATCCTGATAAAGCAATAGTTAAGTGCTAGCAGCTAACTAAAAAGCCAGTGGTTCAAGGCCCTCCCCGCCCCCCAGCAGTTCCATGGAAGAAAGACCTGGTGATTTGCTTCTGTAGATGGTTGTTAAGTGCCATTGGTTCTGCTTTGACTCACAGTGACCCTGATTAGGACTTTCTTATCTTTTAAATCTTTCAAGGGAGCAGAAAGCCTCATATTTCTCCTGCAGAGCAGCTGGTAGGCTTGGACTCAAGGCCGTGTGGTTCACAGTCCAGTGCTTATAGACAAGGGAATTTACATTCGGGTGTTGTTTAAGATTGCCACGCATAGTGACTCTGTATAGTGTTTCTGAGGAGGGCTGGTGGGTTTGAACTGTCAGCCTTGCTGTTAACGGTCCAGTGCTTATCCTACAGTGCCACACCACGACTTCAGGGACTTCTCAAATGGCTAAACAGTCATTTTCAATGAAACAAAAGGACAAAGAGAGAGGTTTGACCTCTTCGGAAAACCTACATACTGTTTCTATGAGTCGGAACTGACTTGCCAGCACTTAACAACAATTATTTACCTTGGTTAAAAAAAAAAAATAAAAAGAAACAAAGACAAAAACAGTGTTGGATTTGAACACCAGGGTCTGGTCTATGTGTGAATGTAAGGGTGTTTTGGTCAACTACCAGTCTGTCTCAACACACAAGGGAGGAAGACGCTGAGATCTTTTTAAATGCTTCTTTTATTTCATTGGTTGCACATTGGGTGAGTGAACTGAATATTACAACCAAAACATAGAATTGATACAAATTAGACTCCTGTTTACACTGTAAGGTTATGAATGAAGGAATTCTTTAAGTGGTACAGAAAGGTTTAGTAGAAATGTTACCAGTGGTATGGCTGAAAGAATATTTTGGGGAAGTGTTGTTAGATCCTGAAAATCAAGAGTGAAATGTAGTCCCGTACAAGTGACGATTAGTCTCTTAGCTACAGTAGTAACTGAATTGATAACTTCGTGTCTTGGATATTGGTGATTTTGTTTTTGTTAATTAAACAAAGCATTTAAGATTTATTCATCATAGTCAGACTTCTGAATATAAACAAACTTTTGGCAAATAATATTTATACAGAAAAATAGTTTTAGATCCTCTCAAATCCCAGAATTATTCTATAAAATTACATTATAAATAAATAAAAAGCAAAATCTGTTGTACATATATTTGTACATCTATGTATTTGCCTTGCCTCCTCCTTACTGTAAATGGCATATTTATGACTCTTTGCATATTATAATCACAATTCTGGAAAATGGATATCATAGTAAAAATACAGTCTTCTATATTTGCTTGATGCTTCATTATTAAAGGGCTGAAAATAGTTGTGTGCTAATAATTTTGAAAGTAAAAATCATGAAACAAAAACAAAAACAAAAAAGACAATGTTACAACAATTAGTCTACAAAAATATTTCAATGATTCCCACAATTTACCTTTTAGTAATGTATACTAGGTTTTCAATGAGTTTAAATGAATAGTTATTAACAAAGAAAACAAGAAAAAAAAAGTAAGTTTGAATGAGTTAGGAAGTTGTAACATAACTACATTGTTATAGTTGAGAAAATTACAAATATCAAGAATACATAAAGATGAAACTACCAAAGTAATACAAGTTAGATACAATACTTTCCCACAAATTAAAACAAATGCAACATTACAAGCACTATGTAGGATTACACTTAGAACGTGATTTTCTTTTGATAGGGTGATCAAATCTACAATATATGATTAATAGATAGTCATTAGATCTTGACCAACATGAATTAAAATGGCAGATTTTTTTTTTTTTTTCTCTCAAACAAAGAATGAGATGGTTGGTGCATCTAGTTTTCAGAACAGGCAGTGATGCCAAAATTTAAAATATTTTACATTCAATCTCAAAAGTCAAAATACTTCAATCACTAATATGTCCACAGAGAAAATGGATGTTTTAAACAATTACATATAATATTCATTTATAATAGCTGTTTTGTTTTTTAAACAATAATTTAAAAACTATGCAGGTATTGTATAGGAAATGTGCAACATAAAAGTGAAATATGAAATATTTGGTACGATAGTGCTTCAAATAAACTTTAAAACAAACTTTCTGAACAAAATGTAATTGTATCGCTATTACCTTGAAGATCAACCAAGTATTTAAAAAAGTAAACAACATTAAAATATGTTTCATCCATATATAGTATATATATGTATGTGTATATATAATATGTATGTACTTGTATTAAAGTTTTTTATACTTTTGAGACATAAAATAAGGTGAAAGAATTAAAAGAACTAATTTTTTTTCCATGCTTAGTCAGTTACAACCCTTGAATCCAACTTTTGAAATGCAAAACAGTAATGGATTTTTTTTTTTAAGTGAAACTATCTACTTTTTGTTTACACAGCAATTTAGATTAAAGTCACAGTCCGATTTTCAGTGACTAAACTCAGATTTACTTAAATTAGAATACTATACAGATCTCCTCATCTACAGCTTCCTTGTTTGACTAGGTTTTTTAGTTTTGAAGAATTATTCTGTAACAGGCAACTGGATGGTGAGTTTGAAAGACTAATCGTTCAGATTAGACTGTTGGCATGGGCCTCTCTTTCTTTGTCAAGCTGGATGAAGTCTGGCAAAATCTAGGCACTTCTACAAAGTCATTCTTATAAAACAACTTGAAAAATATACTTGTAAAATAATACCTTCAAGACTTTGTTTGTGGGGTATGAAGCTCATACCGTGCAAAGTTTCTTTTTCAATCTATTTCATGTTACTCTAGAATCACATGATTCAACGCGGTATCGACAGGCAAACCAAACACCCCACTTTGATGTGTCCCCTGTACTTGTGCTTGAGTTTCCATTCAGATTTTAGACCCGTAGGACAGGTCTCGGTTTTACTTCACTTCTCATCTTTGCTGCAGTATTTATCTTGTCAAGAAGTGAAACATACCCTTTGATCAGTGGGTACATGAAATGACTAATTAGAAGTTAGAATCGAAATTGTCCTTGGAATAGATGTTTGAACTAATGCTAGTTTTTTATTGCTAAATTTGAGATATTTTGAGTCAAAACGAGTAAACTGGTTGGACTCGGTGCATCAGCTACAGTTATGGAGATATGACAATATTCCTAGGACAGAGACTATGTTTAGAAACCCTTTAAAAGTAAACTTTACCCTTTAAGTCTTTAAACATCACAGCTGGTATCAGGTAGTTAACTATCTTAGGTTGGAATATACTAAGCATACCATATTAATACTCATATATGACATAGCAGCTCTAGCTTCTCAGAGTTTGTGGTCTGTCCAGAAGAACTAAATCATTATTTAGCATGCAGTTTGTGGCAATTCTATTGAGGAGGAAACGGGGTAGTATGTACAGTAACAATGTTTAGTTATTCTCAATGCAGATTCTTGGCATTCCATTCCATTTCTGTTGATTATTTCAGAATTATCTGTTAGAGAAAAAAGACAAACAGGATTTAGACATTCTTCGGAGGCAAAACAATGGGTTTTACTCTTTGAAAAGAGACATTTGAAGATAAGAGTTTTCTTCAATGTCTGCTAGTTTTGGTGCAATATATTGTTACATGAACCCCACCCTTTCTGCTGTAAATTCTCACATTTAAACACTTCTGAGAATAATGATTCAACTCTATCATCTTTTCTGTAAAACTGTATCAGCATGCAGTTTGTTAAGACCCCAATTTCTTTTTAGTTTTGGACCTTTCTATTGCGTGTTTTATATTATCATCCAAATCATATTTGCTTAGGTGATTCGGAAGTCTAATCCGATAATAGATTCACATTTGAAAAGTTGTTGGTAAGGCATTTAAAAATAAATCAGTGTTACTTTTCTATGCCTTTTAGGGTCACAATGAGTTAGAATTAATCTGAAGGGAGTGGGCTTAGTTTTTTTTATTTCTTTATTTGCTTTCTAATTCAGAGATAACTTCCCATAAAAAAGTCATTTTTTCCTTAGACAGAATAACAATTAGCTTCAAATTTAAGAACTGTTTAGATATTTCATACTAAAGGGGGGAAAGGACACTATTCTAATACAGTGGTTTGAGCATGCTTAATAAACCCCAAAGCAAGAGAAAGCTAAATTCTCAAGTACAAATATGGTCCATGAAATGTGTTTCAACTCCATACCATGTCAAAGGGCAGGAAGTTTGCTCTGTCTGACATGGTATTTAAGTGTCAACCTTAAATGCCAAGTTTTAAGCATATTCTAACAAACATATTTATTTGAGAAATACTTTGACCAAACTTTGTGCAATTAATAAGCAAAACAATTTCATTTATTTATTAAACAATGAAGAACAGTTGTTTAGGAAGTAACAGGTAACAATTCTTTCTGGTGCACTTCAGCTAATACTCATACACAGTGAGCAGTCAACCAAAGACTTAGTTCTACACACTTCATTTATTAACCCATTAAGTTAGAGGTCATAGAGGTGAATGATTTGCCCTGTAAGTGACTATTTTTGTAGTTTGTAAGAAAACCGTTCTAGTATACATCCGTTTTCTCTGTGGATATAGTAAATGTAAAATATTGTAAAATTTTGGCATCACTGCCTGTTATGAAAACTAGATGTACCATTCGGATCATTCATTGTTGAGACGAGAAAAAAAAAAAAGCTCTGCCATTTTCATTCATGTTGGTCAGGGTCTCCTTTGGAGGAGTTTTCTTCTTTCTTTTTTTTTTTTTTTAAAAATGAACCATACAGGTAAGTGTAGGATTGTTAAGAAGAACTCATTTATATGATTGACATATTTATGCTGTATGGAAACTTCCTTTCATAGGAATTTAAAATTTGGAGGCTTGGTGGTGTCGTAGGATAAGCACTGGACTGCTGACCACAAGGTTAGCAGTTCAAACCCACCCTCCATTCCACAGAAAATGAGGCTTTCAGCTCCTCTAGTAGCCGCGTAGTGGTTACGAATCAGGCTGTGAACCGCAAGGTCAGCAGTTCGAAACTACCAGCTATTCTGTGGGAGAAAGATGAGGCTTTCTGCTCCCGTAAAGATTTACAGCCTTGGAAACCCTGTACAGGGTCGCTATGAGTCGGAACCGACTCCGTGGCATGTAACCACCAACACTACCACCAAAACTGGGATAATTTCATAGGAATTTAAAATTTGTTGGGGGAAAAAGTCATTTTTTGTCCCGTGACTGATAGACATGAATTCTTAAAAAATATATTATTTTACATGTAAATATTATCATAGTCTCTTTGAGTAAATAATGTATGAATTCTCTAGATTATCAGATTATAACTTCAGTTTTAGAAGTAGATTATTTTACTCAATGGAAGTTGTTCTAATATACCTCTTAGCTTTCATACCGTCTTTAAGTTTTCCAAATAGAAAGTGCTCCAGGATACCAAACTATGCCCTATCTTTCTTTCATTTACTTTAGCAAAAAGCTCTTTCAAACATTTAAGGAAAAATATTTTCAGTTTTTAAACTTGATAAGTAATAATACATTTTTAAAAGATTATATTTACGTTCTTGCTTATTAACTGAAACCAGAATGCCATAGGGAATGAAATTCCTAGTCCCCTAGAAAGAAAAGACCTCTATAAAAAGCATAAATGAGAATGGGCACATATATACTCTAGAAATTAGTTACAACAATATCTTGGACTTCTTTGACAAAGACACATGCTGATCACCTAGGTTTAAGTGACTGTAAGTCAGGCTTGATGTTAATGGAAAGCAATAGCTGGACTCAAGACCGTTTCCCCTTCTGCCCTAGCTTACCACCTACTATCCAAGACACGGATAAAGACATGAAGGAAAAACAGGATCTCTGGGCCTACCACACACTCAGTTATGACTGCTACCAGGCTTCTAGACCTGAGAACAGTCTGACAATACCACATCCTGGTCCATGTCTTTGGTGAGTTTGTGGAGTGTACATATATGTGAGGTATAAAAAATGAATCCCATTCTTAGCAGCTGTGAATTTGAAGAAGCTCAAGATATTTGATCTTAAAGGAAAGCTTTGGGTGTCTCTCTTTATAAGTGCCATTTATGGTGGCAGCGTTTTTCTTGAATATATCTTTGGATTATTCAATGTATTGTTCTGTGTGTTTTTTTTCTGAGCAATACCGCTTGCTGGTACAGTCTGAATTAAATGCAGTCTGGGGTGAGATACACCCTGGAAATACACATGGAATGGGGATCCAGACAGAGAACAGCTACCAACTCACTGTCTCTCCTCTCACTAGCACCCACTGGATGCTACTTCTGTTGTTAGGAGACCAGTGACATTACTGGCCTAAGGGGAGGGGGGCCATTTCCAGCTGGAGGTCACCTCAGGATACTGCTGGAGGCAGGTGGGGAGGAGCTAACAGTCTAGCTGTGTAAGGGAGGGGTGCTAGTTTTCATATGGTTTTCTTTAGTCAGATTATATTTTAAATTAAGACCAAAGCAGCGTAATTCAAGACATACTGTGTCACTTAGTAAGACTAATAGGTATATTTCGTGTTACCCTGCTACCATCTCTGTTTAGAGATGTTCTTCTATACCAATTAGCTAGATGAACAGATAACATGTGCTACGTATCCATACGCCCCTTCAATCTTCATTTGCAGTTTTTATGACCAGAAAGATCAAACACTTTCAGAAGATGCCTGACCTACTTCAATACAGGTCAAAACAAAACAAAAGAAAAAAACTTGTATGGGGACCCTGATCAACTAGAAATCTGACATTGACAAACTTTAACTTTGAGCTTATCCATTAGCAAGATAATAATGATGAACATGCAGATCACAAAAGTGTCAATTCCTGTCCTACACTTGATCAAAGCTGAGATGGCGATCTAAAGTTCCGTACTCAACCTCCAACTCCTGCTTTCTTAGAAGGCGGCGACTGAAAACCTCTTATTGGATCTACTAGAGTATATAAGAAGGGGCTTTAAAAAGTTCATGGAAAAACTGAATAGAAAGATAATGGAATTTTTCCATGGACCTTTTGAGCATTCCTCATCTATCAGAGAAATGGCTACCATACTGGGTGTCCTAAAAGTCCCCTCTCTTAAGCATGTGGCCCTGTAGAATAAGTACCAGATTGCTAACTGCTAACAGCAAGATCAATGGTTTAAACCCACCAGCTGCACCTTGGAAACACTATACAGGGTTGCTGTGAGTTGGAACTGACTCAATGGCACTTAACAACAAGGACAACAGCCTATAAGTGGACAATTTGAACCCATTAAACAATCCTGTGGGAGAAAGATTGCAATCTGTTCCCATAAAGATGAACTCAAACCCAAACCCACTTCCATGAAGTGGATTGTAGCTCAGAGTTTCCACAGAACTTCCAAGGCAGTGTATCTTTATGGGTACAGACGACCACATCTTTCTATAGTGGGATGACTTGTGAGTTTGACCTGAAGACTTTCTGGTTAGCAATGGAGTGTTTAACCATCGTGCCACCTAAACCCCCCGATGGGACAGGTCTGCTCTGTTACCTGGGGCTGTAATGAGTCAAAACCAACTCCAGGGCACCTGAAACCAACAGCTGCACGCAGGTGACACTGACTCTTGGTGACCCCATGTATGTCAGAGTAGAACTGTGTTCCAGAGGGCATTCCAGAGCTGGTTTTGCTCAAGTCGATCACTAGGGCTTTCTTGCCAAGGGCCTCTAGGTGGAGTTGAACCTCTAACCTCTCAGTTAGCACCCAGCATTTCAAGCACATCATTTGTAACATCCAGGGACTCTCAAAATCATCCTCTTGTGATTTCTACAGGACACGCAGAGAAATTTTTTACTAGAGTCTTATCCAGTATTGCAAATCATATTTTGCAGCTATGGAAAACACAACATACTTCTTAACAACTTGTACTCTGTACAGAGAGCTTGCAAAAGCCGAAAAAAACTTAAAGAGGCGCTAACTCATTTTTCTTCCGGGTACAGGGCATGGTGACAGTCTGAGGTGGAACTGGGGGGAGGCAGTGATGCCAAAGAGAGGCTCTGTACCGCTTATGGTGTCAGTTTAGGAAGTCAGCTAGAGAACCCCTGGCAAATTGGGGATTGGGAAACAGGTGAGGTCATGGCGTATGGCTTGAAGCAAATGGAGCCCGAGCATGACTTGGGAGAAAGCAGAAGCTGTCTGCAGGAGCCAGATGGGCAGACACTACTGAGGCACTCTGGGTTGCTATCCACATCCGCCCTAAGCCTCCTCCCCACGAGTTCTTCAAATAGTTCTACAACAGAACATCCCACCCAACCACAATTTCACTGCTTTAGCTCCTGAGAAACTTGGGCAAACTGTATTGTATTTTTCCACAAATAACACACTCATATGCACAAAACATCCACACATATAACATGTGGCCCAGAACACTTAGAAAACTAGCAGTGGGAGAGTTGGTAAACAAAGGAACAAAAAACGCTATATAGTGCGTGTTATTTGTGTAGAAATACGGTAATGCTAGGA